AAAGAAAGACAGTTCCTACCTGATAAAGAATCGGACCTACACGGACAACGTACTCCTGTTTCCTTCCCGGCGCCAGATGCGATCCTTCGATTCGGGCTGCTACAGACTTCACCCCCAAAGTCTGACCAACTTCATATGGCTGGCTCTACAACGGTACTCCTGTAAAGACAAGGCTCAGCCTTACTACGGCTTCGACATCTTTGAGGATTTGGTTTACAGTGTGAAAAACATGTCAGTTGGTGGTGCGGAGTCTTTGTGTCAGCTGGACACAGATGTGTTTCTCATTGCGTCGGTTTGCTGTGCAGCATTGAGGCACCAGGAGATGATTCACATGGGTCACAGTGATCCCACGCAGCCAGACTTTCTACCCCTGAGTCTGACGAAACCACTTTGTACACAGGAGCAGGCAGACTGGTGGCTGGCAGCTTACAAATTCCACACTAACACAGTCAAGTAGGTTTCAAGTAGTTTTCTGTCCTATCACACAACCCAGTCTCACTTTTTCCCACAACTATGTTCTTTTTGTCAATCAATAGCCTTGTGTGGAATCCAGTTTAAAACAGGTCTCAAGCAACCTAATGGACCTGGTGTTGGTTGATTGCATGTAGCCTGACCATGAACGGTGCTTATAATTTTAATTATGTTTTTTTCTTCTCTTGACCTGATTATTTACAGGTCACTGTCATATAGCTGGGACATAGCTAAGTGCGGCATTCAGCACCGAATTGATGTAGATTTCTAATAAATGTTTTTTTTTAGTTTTGAGATTCATTATCAACAAGTACACCAGAAATATTTGTCAGAGGTGAACAAAGTATTCACCATGCCATAAAGTACATTGCTCATTTCTTGTTGCATACATGAGAAATTTAGGAAAGAAAGTTGGTTTTTATGTAGCACTGATAACCATGGATAAGCTCATGATGTCCGTCACAGGATTGTCTGGTCCGTACTTGATTATTTACAGACGGCGGTCATATAGCTGCAATATTGCTGAGTGCGGTGTTAAACAACAAAGAAACCAACCAACCAAAAAAACATGAATAAGTGTCAAGTTTTATGATAGAATAATGAATTTGCTTTTATTGAAATGCCAGAGATGTCCTCTAAAATTCTACACTGGTACCATTTTGTGAAAAACGTAATGCATAATCTCAATCTCTTCCCCCATCATCCCCTTAGTTGCTATCCTAGATTCATCGGTGATGTATCATGTGCAAGAGTCGGCACATTTGATGATTTGTATCTTATTTGTACTTAGGGACAACTTTTCCAAGATGCGCCACACCCTGCAGCGGGGGATAGAGACTGTCCGCCTCGTCGCGGGTCACGGGGTGTCTGTCAACCTCATCATCCACATAGCCAGGTCACTGGAGGTGAAGGCCTCTGAGATGAAACAGTTGGGGCCACAGTTCACATTGAATGTTACCGACACTGAGACCAGAGCAGAGTTTTACTGGGAGCAGGCCCTGGAAATGTTGAACCGACTTGATAAGTAAGGGCTGGTGATTAATTATAAGTCTTGCATGTGGTCCATGGCATATTGTTAACTCAGATATGATGCATGAAACCCTTACTTAATAGGTCGTGTCTCGCGAACCCTGAGTGACCCGTGAAGGTCCAGGGTAGAATAAGTCTTCAGCAACCCATGCTTGCCGTAAAAGGTGACTATGCTTGTCGTAAGAGGCGACTAACGGGATCAGGTGGTCAGGCTCGTTGACTTGGTTGATGCATGTCATCTTATCCCAATTGCGTTGATCGATGCAATACAACACGATGAATTTATATGCAATGATTTTGCATGTGATGCATGTTGCCAGGAACCGGAATCCCCATGTGCCGAAGCACCGACTGTTCAAGGATGACACTGACCAGGACCTGGACGAGGCCACCATTAAAGCGCTCACCTCCGAGGTCCAGTACGCTGTTGGCTGTGCAGCAATGAAGAAAAACAAGTACGAGGATGCTATCAATATATTTGACAAACTACACACGCCATATGCTTCACTCAACTCGGCAAAGGTAAGTAATTTTATGATCAATGAACACAAATGATTATTGATGTGTGAAAGGACGCTGTAAGTGTTCCTAGAGGTGTGTGAAATGTTGTGTTGTGTATACAGTGAATGGATAGATTTATTGATTTATTTAGATTAGTCAGAATACAGAGACGTACAATTATGATGCGATTTGTCATGGGTCAGTACACTAAGGCTGTGTATGTAACATCCAAGACTATGATATGCACCCAATGACAACATATTTAGCCTCAATGGCTAGGGAATATGGGGTTGAAAGCATGCAGCGATTCAAGAAGGAGGAACCCCAGCTTAGAATTGTCTCAGTTAGCAATGTTGGCTGTAAGAGGCACGTTAATGGAGCGGAAGGTCAGGATTGTGAGACACACACACACACACACACACACACACACACACACACACACACACACACACACACCTTGAGGTTTTCTTATGGATTTGAATCTTGGTACCCTACATCTTGAGCATAAGGGCAATGACTAGGACGCTTGACGTTGTGCTTAATGTGGAACACTGCATGTAGTCCTTCTGTGCATTGGGGCAGAAGTTGTTGCTTATGCAATACCAAGTGTACCAACATTGATGCTGTAATCTTAGTGTATATAGCTGGAGGTTATGGTAAGACTGTATGCTGATGTTCTGCTGTTCTAGATATACAAGGTTCTAGCAGAGCAGGAGCGATCTCGGGATGCTCCTGTTGGAAGAGAACAACACCAGATTCTCTTAACAAAAGCTCGGGATGCCATCTATCGTACTTTTGATCTTCTGCAAGGAGATAAGAAACATGTGAGTGTGCACTGATCAGTGCTGATTGAATATTCGCGACTGGAAAACAGTTAGGGAGCTAGCAACTTGCAGGGCTCGATTTAAGGAACTACCTATAGATTTGAACATGTTGACCAGTACCAGTAGATGCACCAGTCTAAATCAGGTTGCTCTCATATCGGTACCCATGAACTATACTGGCAGTGGTATTTCCTACACTTGTGGCAGATGTAATTCTGAAAACGTCATCCCGGGCACCAACATTACTGGTAGTACTTGAAGCCAAATCTGACATTCTTCCACAAACAAAGCCACTGCAGCTGTCACTGCATTAATTTTTATCCCCTGCCACGAAGTGGAAGGGGGACATAGGAATGGCTGCCGTACCATATTTCTTCACCAAACTTGGCACATAGATAGATCTAGTGGTGAACTGGTGCCTTTTGATAGTTTGGGATTTTAAAAAAGTTATTTTTCGAGTTTCCATGGCAACGACTTTGATTTAGACTGAAAATGCCAGTAGTCCTCGCTACCGGAGCAGATCTTGAAAACCAGACCATATTTCTTCACCAAACTTGGCACATAGATAGATCTAGTGGTAAACTGGTGCCTTTTGATAGTTTGGGATTTTAAAAAAGTTATTTTTCGAGTTCCATGGCAACAACTTTGATTTAGACTGAAAATGGCAGTAGTCCTCGTTTCCGGAGTAGATCTTGAAAACCGTACCATATTTCTTCGTCATACTTGGCACATAGATAGGTCTAGTGGTGAACTGGTGCCTTTTGATAGTTTGGGATTTAAAAAAAGAAGAAGTATTTTTCGAGTTTCCATTGCAACGACTTTGATTTAGACTGAAAATGGAGGTAGTCCTCGTTTCCGGAGCAGATCTTGAAAACCGTACCATATTTCTTCGTCATACTTGGCACATAGATAGGTCTAGTGGTGAACTGGTGCCTTTTGATAGTTTTGGATTTTTTTTAAAAGTTATTTTTCGAGTTTCCATTGCAACGACTTTGATTTAGACTGAAAATGGAGGTAGTCCTCGTTTCCAGAGCAGATCTTGAAAAACGTACTATATTTCTTTACAAAAAGGCCCAGTGAACATAGTTCACAGGAGCTAATGCATTGCACACACCCGACATGTCATATTGGCGGGGGATGTGAGTATTTCATGCTTGTTTTTAATAAAATTTTGACGTGGACCAGGTGCATGTAGAAAAAGATAATAGGTTGCATTTATATCAGGATGCACTAAGTCCATGTTATATATGGTTAAATCGAGCCCTGACTGTCAATTTCATATATACTGAACTGCCATGTATCTTTTTAGAATATGTACATATGACATTGATCTTATTTTGATTAATGATACCACTAATACCAGCTGGAATGTAAGTTCCAAGACCACTGTATGTTTCGCTAAATGGTCAGTACCAAGTCATATTATGTGATGCTAAGAAAGAGGGAGCAATTAAATCGTCTTAAAATAAGCATTGCCATGAAGTTACAATGCATGTCATTAGATACTTATTTTGGTTTCTGTATTAGAATGTTAGTTTCTGAACAAAAAGAAATATACTTTGTTTGAAAGTTTATACAGCATGTTATTTATAAAATTGACTATTTCATGTGAGAAAATATGGAAAGTTGTGTTACTTTGTTTCAACGTGTACCATATTCGACGTAATAAGCGCCCAGGGCGCTCTCAAAATTAGAAATGGGGGGCTCTCATTAGAATATTATTTTGGTGAAATAAAAACAGTTGAAAGATAAATTTCGTGGTTTATGCAGACAGCCTGAAATGTTAATGTACGACAGATATATTTTTCCAGAATTTAATTGCCCATAATTAAGGGTGCATATAACGCACGTGTGCGTATTATACGCGAATATATAAGTCTTGTGTATATTGATCAATCAGAAGGGGTGCTAATTGGGATTGTTCACTAACCAATATATTAGCAATTATCGCCGTGGGCGCTGATCAGAGAGGTGCGCTTATTACGTCGAATACAGTATATCACATTGTGCACAGTTTGCTGTAGAAACACAGGAAGTATTTATTGTCAGAGATGTAACCATGTTGCACAGTTGCAACTTGTTTCTTTTTGGATGTAACATTGTTTGTTCAGATAGTGTCATGACTATGAAAGTACAAGTATGAATAATGTTGATTGTATGTTGATTGTTTTCAAGGAATTGAACAAGTCGGTGCAGCAACATTATGATGAGATTGAGTCTCAGCTGATGAGTGTGGCAGGTAAGTGAACATGAAAGCTAAAAAACAATTATGCTGTTTAAAATTCTGAATTCCTGTGCAATTGTTACTTGTGCTGTTTATTGTGACGTGTGAGAATTAACTGTTTCTGTGTCACTGTACCTCAAAGGTATAGATTGTTACTGGTGTTGTTTATGGTTACAGTGTGAGAGTTAGCTGTTTCTGTGTCACTGTACCTCAGAGCATAGATTTTTACTTGTACTGTCCAGGGTTTTATTGGACACAAAGATATTGCATTCTACACTCTTACAAATTGTGCATGGACACTAATACTTTACATTGTGAGTCATGTGAGTCGCAAATCAGTTTGGCTATTTGAATCATAAAACTAACCAGAACTATAGACTCCATATGCTACATGACTGGCATGTCTATCCTGGTATGAAAAACACTGACATATAAATCTCAATCTGTGAAAGGCTGAAGAAAAATTTAAGTTCTTGGAAATAATGTAAAACCAGCCTGGGCTCCTCATGTTCATACCCGAAAATTGTGACTGAGTTCATGGATTTGAAACTATATAGACCCATGTGAATCCCTGGCTGTCAATCACTGGTCTGACTTGCCAAGACGTGATTATTAATGATATGGCTTCAATTTGCTCTCAGCGTCATAACATATCATTCAGTCTTCTAGAAGTATAAAAATATGTGGGTGGGTGGGTTTTTTGCACCGCTTTCAAGCAATATTTCTGCAGTGTCAAGGCAGGAGACACCAAATAGGAATCAGACTCGGGACTTTTCCGCCTTGTCCCAAAAGATTCACCTTCATCCCTAACATATCACAGATCTATTGACCACAGTTGAGAGTTAGATTTTAATATGGTCCTTGCAGCAGTTTGTCAATTTAGAGGAAGTGTTCACCCCTGTCCCTTGTTTGACAGAGTGGGATGATGATGAAGAGCCAAGTCAGTACCACACTCCAACAGCCATCCAGATGGATGGAGACGTGTCGTCCCCAGACCACAGTACACCCAGGGACAAGTCCAGGACCAAGTCTCCAGCAGCTCAAGTCAGCTTCAATACATCTGATGTAAGTCACAAATAATATTCGGACTGAAACAGTGGTGATCTGCTACTAAATATTATATGAAAAGTCAAATGAAGGATGAAGAAATCTACATGACCTGTTTTAGCAACCAAATAGTTCTTACAGTTTACTCCTCTATGATTGAATTTAGGGACCCCAATTTTTTTCGTTTTAACGTCATGACTTTCAATCTTGATCTTGAAAGTTGGTCTGTATCAGTGGGTTTTTTTCACTTGGAAATTCAGTTGATGAGTTAATAATGTACAATGTTACGTACTCTTGGACAGGCTGGCCGACACATCAGACCAAGCCCAGAACACATGGATGCCAAGATCCGTTCCCTGGCCTACTCCCAAGAGTCCTTGGTCAAGATGGTGCTTGCCCGCAATGAGGAGCTGGTCAAGTTCAACAGTCAGCTTGTGGAGGCCCTGAGGGAGAACAGAGAAGTCATCACACAGCTTAAGGTGAAGCTTACAGTTGTGTAGGGATAATTCCCTGCCATTTGGTGTGGCACTTTGACTTATTGTTACAACATATCACATGTTTTAAAAGTTTCGTGTTTATTTGTATGTAATGTCTCACAATGTCTCTCTCACTGTCTAGTCAAGAGGGACTTGACGTAATGCTTTGCTAACAATTATTATAGGTAAGCAGTATCCTGTGCTTCTTGTGTAGTCATGCACTAGTGATGTAGAATGTTGCTCGTGATCTTCACTGCTGGTTTACCTTGGTGAGGCAGGCTAACACCTGGTCAGTCACTCTCTGAACCTTGGGGATATTTACTGCTCAGATGATGTTTTTGCTAGAATGAATACCCATGGGGATCCCAGGTTAGAGAAGGTCTCCAGCAACCAGTGCTGGTTGACTTGGGTGGTCAAATTAGGTGACTCAGTTGTTGCCATATTTCTTCGTCATACTTGGCACATAGATAGGTCTAGTGGTGAACTGGTGCCTTTTGATAGTTTGGGATTTAAAAAAAAAAGAAGTATTTTTCGAGTTTCCATTGCAACGACTTTGATTTAGACTGAAAATGGAGGTAGTCCTCGTTTCCGGAGCAGATCTTGAAAACCGTACCATATTTCTTCGTCATACTCGGCACATAGATAGGTCTAGTGGTGAACTGGTGCCTTTTGATAGTTTTGGATTTTTTTTAAAAGTTATTTTTCGAGTTTCCATTGCAACGACTTTGATTTAGACTGAAAATGGAGGTAGTCCTCGTTTCCAGAGCAGATCTTGAAAAACGTACTATATTTCTTTACAAAAAGGCCCAGTGAACATAGTTCACAGGAGCTAATGCATTGCACACACCCGACATGTTATATTGGCGGGGGATGTGAGTATTTCATGCTTGTTTTTAATAAAATTTTGACGTGGACCAGGTGCATGTAGAAAAAGATAATAGGTTGCATTTATATCAGGATGCACTAAGTCCATGTTATATATGGTTAAATCGAGCCCTGACTGTCAATTTCATATATACTGAACTGCCATGTATCTTTTTAGAATATGTACATATGACATTGATCTTATTTTGATTAATGATACCACTAATACCAGCTGGAATGTAAGTTCCAAGACCACTGTATGTTTCGCTAAATGGTCAGTACCAAGTCATATTATGTGATGCTAAGAAAGAGGGAGCAATTAAATCGTCTTAAAATAAGCATTGCCATGAAGTAACAATGCATGTCATTAGATACTTATTTTGGTTTCTGTATTAGAATGTTAGTTTCTGAACAAAAAGAAATATACTTTGTTTGAAAGTTTATACAGCATGTTATTTATAAAATTGACTATTTCATGTGAGAAAATATGGAAAGTTGTGTTACTTTGTTTCAACGTGTACCATATTCGACGTAATAAGCGCCCAGGGCGCTCTCAAAATTAGAAATGGGGGGCTCTCATTAGAATATTATTTTGGTGAAATAAAAACAGTTGAAAGATAAATTTCGTGGTTTATGCAGACAGCCTGAAATGTTAATGTACGACAGATATATTTTTCCAGAATTTAATTGCCCATAATTAAGGGTGCATATAACGCACGAGTGCGTATTATACGCGAATATATAAGTCTTGTGTATATTGATCAATCAGAAGGGGTGCTAATTGGGATTGTTCACTAACCAATATATTAGCAATTATCGCCGTGGGCGCTGATCAGAGAGGTGCGCTTATTACGTCGAATACAGTATATCACATTGTGCACAGTTTGCTGTAGAAACACAGGAAGTATTTATGGTCAGAGATGTAACCATGTTGCACAGTTGCAACTTGTTTCTTTTTGGATGTAACATTGTTTGTTCAGATAGTGTCATGACTATGAAAGTACAAGTATGAATAATGTTGATTGTATGTTGATTGTTTTCAAGGAATTGAACAAGTCGGTGCAGCAACATTACGATGAGATTGAGTCTCAGCTGATGAGTGTGGCAGGTAAGTGATCATGACAGCTAAAAAACAATTATGCTGTTTAAAATTCTGAATTCCTGTGCAATTGTTACTTGTGCTGTTTATTGTGACGTGTGAGAATTAACTGTTTCTGTGTCACTGTACGTCAAAGGTATAGATTGTTACTGGTGTTGTTTATGGTTACAGTGTGAGAGTTAGCTGTTTCTGTGTCACTGTACCTCAGAGCATAGATTTTTACTTGTACTGTCCAGGGTTTTATTGGACACAAAGATATTGCATTCTACACTCTTACAAATTGTGCATGGACACTAATACTTTACATTGTGAGTCATGTGAGTCGCAAATCAGTGTGGCTATTTGAATCATAAAACTAACCAGAACTATAGACTCCATATGCTACATGATTGGCATGTCTATCCTGGTATGAAAAACACTGACATATAAATCTCAATCTGTGAAAGGCTGAAGAAAAATTTAAGTTCTTGGAAATAATGTAAAACCAACCTGGGCTCCTCATGTTCATACCCGAAAATTGTGACTGAGTTCATGGATTTGAAACTATATAGACCCATGTGAATCCCTGGCTGTCAATCACTGGTCTGACTTGCCAAGACGTGATTATTAATGATATGGCTTCAATTTGCTCTCAGCGTCATAACATATCATTCAGTCTTCTAGAAGTATAAAAATATGTGGGTGGGTGGGTTTTTTGCACCGCTTTCAAGCAATATTTCTGCAGTGTCAAGGCAGGAGACACCAAATAGGAATCAGACTCGGGACTTTTCCGCCTTGTCCCAAAAAATTCACCTTCATCCCCAACATATCACAGATCTATTGACCACAGTTAAGAGTTAGATTTAATATGGTCCTTGCAGCAGTTTGTCAATTTAGAGGAAGTGTTCACCCCTGTCCCTTGTTTGACAGAGTGGGATGATGATGAAGAGCCAAGTCAGTACCACACTCCAACAGCCATCCAGATGGATGGAGACGTGTCGTCCCCAGACCACAGTACACCCAGGGACAAGTCCAGGACCAAGTCTCCAGCAGCTCAAGTCAGCTTCAATACATCTGATGTAAGTCACAAATAATATTCGGACTGAAACAGTGGTGATCTGCTACTAAATATTATATGAAAAGTCAAATGAAAGATGAAGAAATCTACATGACCTGTTTTAGCAACCAAATAGTTCTTACAGTTTACTCCTCTATGATTGAATTTAGGGAGCTCAATTTCTTTCGTTTTAACGTCATGACTTTCAATCTTGATCTTGAAAGTTGGTCTGTATCAGTGGTTTTTTTCACTTGGAAATTCAGTTGATGAGTTAATAATGTACAATGTTACGTACTCTTGGACAGGCTGGCCGACACATCAGACCAAGCCCAGAACACATGGATGCCAAGATCCGTTCCCTGGCCTACTCCCAAGAGTCCTTGGTCAAGATGGTGCTTGCCCGCAATGAGGAGCTGGTCAAGTTCAACAGTCAGCTTGTGGAGGCCCTGAGGGAGAACAGAGAAGTCATCACACAGCTTAAGGTGAAGCTTACAGTTGTGTAGGGATAATTCCCTGTCATTTGGTGTGGCACTTTGACTTATTGTTACAACATATCACATGTTTTAAAAGTTTCGTGTTTATTTGTATGTAATGTCTCACAATGTCTCTCTCACTGTCTAGTCAAGAGGGACTTGACGTAATGCTTTGCTAACAATTATTATAGGTAAGCAGTATCCTGTGCTTCTTGTGTAGTCATGCACTGGTGATGTAGAATGTTGCTCGTGATCTTCACTGCTGGTTTACCTTGGTGAGGCAGGCTAACACCTGGTCAGTCACTCTCTGAACCTTGGGGATATTTACTGCTCAGATGATGTTTTTGCTAGAATGAATACCCATGGGGATCCCAGGTTAGAGAAGGTCTCCAGCAACCAGTGCTGGTTGACTTGGGTGGTCAAATTAGGTGACTCAGTTGTTTGTGTGCATGGATTGTTGCTCACAATATTGGTCACTGGATTGTCTGATTCAGAAGCGATTATTTACAGGTTGCCATTATATAGCTGGAATATTGCTGAGTGTGGCATAAAGGAACAAACAAACTAGACTGAAATACTTCTCATAATTTTTCTATATCTGCCTCCTGTGTTGTCAAAACTTGCTATGCAGGTCAGTCTAGTGGTGTACTGGTACCTTTTAATGATTTGGGAGCTTCAATTATTTGTTTTTCACAACAAGTTGGACTTATACTGAAAATGAGAATAGTGCTCATTTCCGGTGCAGAACTCCCAAACCATTGGATATTTCCAGATGGAACTTGCTTTACAGACCAGTATAGTTGTGAACTGGTGCCTTTTGATAATTTGGGATATTGAAAAATAATGAACAGCAACGTATTTTTTCTTCACAGAACTGAAGGTAACCAATGGCAATGTACCAAAAGTTGGGTATATGTAGCCAAACTCCATTTCTGAATTGCACCAGAATGGAGAAGATATGTCATCTCCTGGCGGTTCTTGTTTAGGATGGACTGTGTATGTCGTCATCTCAGTGAGTGAGTCTTGTGTTGCAGACAGAGGAGCTGGCCAGACAGTTCAAGAAGAAGTTTGAGGAGGTTCAGGAGCTGGTCAGGGCAACGGAATCTGGTAAGGCTTTGTGTTAGGGTGCTACCTCTTACCCAATGAACCAAAGTAATTAAATCTAAACCTCCTGGATGATCATTTTTCATAGCTGTTTAACATTTTCTCAGTCGTATAGAATGGTGTTATTCTTGTTCAACCAAAGAATAATACTTATAGTGTATTTGTGTCATTTGATCTTATAAGATTCTTAATAAACCAAACTCACTGTGACCATTTTTCTGCACCCTTGAATAAAACAGTTTATCTGTCACCTGAAGAATTGTCTAAAACAGGAACTGATGTACTTCCAGCATCTCCAGCCAAGAATACCAACAGCTCGGCAAATGTGTCCAAAAGCCAGGATGTCTCTGTGACAGAGGAGAAAGAAGAAGATGACGATTCTGAGGAAGAAAGCATCATGTTTGAGAAGAGAGCTACGTTGACTTATTTTGAGAATGACGAGTGGAAGGTAAGATATTGATGCTTTTTTTATGTGTCGCACAGTATTGCAGTGATGTAGAGTCAGTCAGATCACTTGTCAAAATGGTTTGCTGCTCTAAGATGGCATTAACGACACTGGCACGATGCGATCATGCGTTGACGTCCATGAGGAAGAAGTCCAGTCCGATTGCTCCAGCATACAGTCTTATTTACACATCCAAAATGTCATCCCTGAAGCGCACACCTGTCATGGTGCTTCACTGTAGGACATGGAGATCGGTTCTTCCCGCTCTGCTGATCCTACCCCAAATTATGATTGAGCCTCCTCCATAGCGGTCATGTTTGACTACGTTGGAATCCTAAAATCTTTCTCCTTGTCTACACCACACTCAGGCATGACGATCTTTGAAGTCAAGACAGTATCTTGATTCATCAGTAAATGGTACTGAAGCCCAGTCCTGGTCTGTCCACTTGAGGTGATCTTCAGCCCAGTCCAAATGTGCCTGCCTGTCTGATACATTCCCTCCGTTACTGGCGTTATGCAGGTCATTTCTGAGTGTGGTGGCAGACACAAAATGATGATGTCTTGCTGCAATCAGGAGACAACTGTCTTCCCGCTGTGTGGTGGTACGCTGTCTACCGCCTGCAAGTCCCCGATGCAAACATCTGGCATTGATTCCATGTATCTGCCTAAATCTTCGTTCCTCAAACGACGTCTTTGACGTGGAGTGAGCATAAGTGCATTCAGTTGTTGCAATCCTCAGTAGCAAATGTTGGTGTGCTCTCTGATAATGATGTGCAACGATTCTGTCATGATACCTCAAAACATAGGGTTTTCAAGCACCTTATGCACATGAATGCATGCCTCTGTCCGTTCATCATGAAACTGAGGTCTTACAGGGGTTACCCAATCACTGTAACCGGGGTATTTAAATCTTTATTTGTTGGATGATTTTTTGATATCATCAAAACTTGATCCTTAGCAAACTTTTTGTAGTATAGATCCTTATTAGGCATAGCAGCAATCAGTAACAGCAGTCAAAAATCAACAGCTGAGTGAGTGGTACATTATTTAGTCAGTCTACTTGACAAAAGCAACAAAGTGCCACTTTCATCTCAAGCTTGTTAATTGCCTGCTTTGATGTTTTGTTCGTTTGTTTGTTGTTTAACGCTGCACTCAGCAATATTCCAGCTGTATGATGGCAGTCTGTAAATAATCGAGTCTGGACCAGATAATCCAGGGTTTAACATCATGAGCGGCAATTGGGATATGATGACATGAATCAAAACCAAGTCAGCGAGCCTGACCACCCGATCCCATTAGTTGCCCTTTACGACAAGCATAGTCGCCTTTTACGGCAAGCATGGGTTGCTGAAGACCTATTCTACCCCACCTGCTTTGATAAGCACTTGTTGATGTACTAGTAACCAGGAAGTTACTTCGATGTTGGGGGTAAAAGGAAAGGTGATACATATCCACGTATCAAGGAGAATTCCTCCACGCTATGTGAGATGCTTGTTTGTGCTTCTCAAAACTGTTAATGTGGCAAACTTTGAGATACATGTACAGAGTTCAAGATAGTCGAAGATAACGCTTTTTTTATCCTGAAATTACATAAATGGACAAATATATAGTTATTGAGGTAGCTTAAAGCTATACTAACATACTCATTCACTAACATACCTGTCACATAAAAGGGTTTCACAAATTCATTCACAAGTTGATATAACATATCATTTGGAGTTGTTTTGAACAAGAATGGTCTTCTTTCTAGAAACTTGGAATGGGCAACTTGAAGATTCTGTACAATGATGACCTGAATGGAAACCAGATTGACATGGAGACAGATGACAAACAAAAAGTCTGCAACCATGTCATTTGTCGCGAACACTCAATAAAACTGTAAGTCAGATAAAAATACTTCACCTTGAAAATATATCCGCAGAATAATGACAGTAAAAAATGTGTGACTGCGTGTCTGGGCTTATGTCGGGGCCCGTATAGCTAGCCCATGGAGATACCATGCCACAGTTTAACATGGATACCCCACTCACACACAGTATGCTGACCAGTCCTTGTTTTATCTTAATGCCGACCATCAGACAGGGTAACGAGTAGAACAACCGTTTAACGTCTTTAAGTATGACGAGGCCAGGGATTCAACCACGACTTTCCACTTTTCGGACAGAATCACTACCCACTAGACCACAGAGGCGGTTGAAAAGGGGATTGGGAGGGGAAACGTCAAATGAGTGTATGTACAGTATTTGGGAATTCTCCTTTCTGCTGAGAAGATTATGGCAACTCCTACACTTTAACAGTCAAGTTGCTAAAACCCTTAGCATCTTTAGGTTTGGCTAGATACCTACACTATTGATGTTATGTCACTCACCTGTGAAACGTCACCGATATCGCACACCTGATGTCATCCCTCTATGATTGTTTATATTTCCAGAGAGAATCAGAAGAGAGCCTGTATGTGGAGTGCCCAAGACTTCTCAACAGACGAGCCAGTCAGGAGGGACTTTAAGGCAGCTTTCAGCTCAGTAGCTGCTGCAGAGGAGTTTGCTAAATCTTTTATGGAGGTAAGACATGCTTGTTGTAGTTCAAAATATCTTACCCATTCCCATTGCTAGCTCACCTAACTGAAAGTCCACCCACTTTAGTTGTGGGATCAAAGAAATATGTCCCGGGTTTTTTGGGGTGATATGTTGAACCTTGACCTTATTTAACCTTTGCACTTCGTCCACACAGAAAGCTGAAACGTTTTGTGGCCATTACTCAGCCATATCTGTTCAAAAGACAACAAAATTTGATCAATGTGTATTTAGTGGAGGGGCTTGACACATATGTTCTCTTTTAGACAATATTTTACATTTTACCTTGATTTGACAGTTCTTAAAATCTCTCAAAGGCATATTTGCTCTGTAAATTCCTCCTTTGAAATTGAAAGACTGAGGAAGCTGAACTTCGACATGGACACATATTTTAAGTGCCTGACTTTGTTGACATATACTTTTGACTACATATTCAGGTGAGGTAAAGTGCTCATGACAGCAGTTTCTTTGAAATTGACATTACTGATTATGAATAGCTTTATGTGTGAGATTAAAAATGAATTGATGATTGGAAGTGTATATAAATGTATATATGTATGAACTTTATGGATGCAGAAGAACATTAATGTGTGTTTAGACTGAATATATTTTAGACCTCTGAAGATCTGGAGTAGAATAGGTCTTTTGCAACTGATGCTTGCCTTAAAAGGTGACTAACGGGATTGGGTGGTCTGGCTTGCTGACTTGGTTGATGCATATCATCATAATCCAGTTGAATGAATCGATGCTCATGATGTCGGTTTATGGATTGTCTGGTCGCCGTCATATAACTGGAATATTGCTGAGTGCGACGTTAAACAACCAAGAAACAAACAAGCAAACAAATGGATATCTTAAATTATATAGGTTTTAGTGTTGAAAGAACTGACAAAGTTTTGTTGTTGTGGTTTTAGGGTGTGAGCTTAGCCCGAGATTCTGAGTTGTCAGAGAAGATTTCACATGAAATGGATACACCTGTTATATTTTCTCACGGCGATGCTACGGGAGGTAAGTCTCAACTGAAAATATTATGACCTGTTGGTCAAAGTGGGCAACAACATGTGTGATCTAACTGTGTTTTGTACAGCATAATGTGACAAGCTTCACCATATAGAAACAGTTACTTCCAAAGAAACTTTCTCCAAATCTTGAAGAAAATGGCTTTTGTTTAGTTTTTAGTTGATCAAGATGAGTTAGACATACATTGATCAATTTACTTACTGATGTGTGTATGTTGACCACCAGCTGTGTACGTAGGAAGAATCGTGCGTTTCAACTCCAGAAACAGATGTTCACTTACACTGCACCTTCAACTCATTAGCTGCACAACTTGAACTTGCATTGCATGACTTGAACTTAGATTGCATGGAGGGTCTGATTTTGTGGGCGTTGTGCTGCTTCATTCCACGATATACTAACATGCATTTGTGAGTGAGTGAAGAGATTGATGTGGATATTGAGAGATTAATTTTGCAACAGACACCAAACTGAGTAATGAATCCTTGTCATGCAGAATGTCTAGCCTAAGGAGCTGTGTATCTTCCTTTGATGTTGTTATCATGGACACAGTGGAATAGCTTCGCACCCAGTGCCCAATTCTTGTTACAAAAGGCAACAAAATTTGTGGTCTCCATCATTACCTAGTTTTTAATGCAAGGCTGAATAACTAGGCATGACTGAGTTTTGTCCCTTAGCTCCATCCAGATCAGCTGATCAAAAGTTCGATTTGGTTGTGACCATTGGCAAGTTGGAATTCCATTGTGTTTATCTCAATTCAATAGTTTTCTTGGAAAGACTCCGAGGTTTAAAAGCTTTAGAAATTACTGGCTATTCAATCTTTTTTGTCACCCTTGAATGACATGCCTGGTTAACACCCTACAAGTGGCCGAGGCAATTATCTAAGACTTAGCTAACACGCCAAGATATATGCAATATACTTTTCAAGCAGCCATAAACCCAACTCACTAACAACAAACAGGTTGATGTAGAATCTCATTCTCTCACTCATTCATGTTAATTGTGTGTTTTGTGGTGGTGGTGGTAAGCCCTTTACTTTGAAATACTAATTTCTTTCCTTTCTACTTGAATATTTGTTGAGGATCATGGGTAGTTTTGATACATGATCAAATTAGAGGTGTAACGATATGAAGGGGTCGCGATACGATACATATCCCAATACTATGGATGGGATATGATCCGTATCCCGATACAGCACTTTTGTTTCAAAAGATTATATTCTTTCTTTTTGCAGGTGAAATCATGTTTAAAATTTCAGAGATCAAAATGGGATATTGTAGGGAAGAAACATATAGGCCAGGGGGCACTGTAAATGTTGTGCCAAATATAGCCAAACGGGGAAATGCTAGAGAATCTGCATTAGCTGGTTGTTGAACAACCATGTGTGTTTTTTGCAAATATAACTTGTAAGGTAATGTATAGTTTGTATGGTGATAGAGGGTTTGAAAATCGATGAATTGTTTCGTGGGCCTCATATCTTGAGACAATACTGTATTGCCGTATCATTACACCACTAGATCAAATGAGCAATAGCATTTAGTAACTTAAATCACAACACATTTAAGACTTTCATTCTACATTCTTTCCATCCTGTATCTGTATTACTATCATGGCGAAATAACATTGTAATAATAGAACGTGTGTAGTGATTAATAGCCATATTACTCTTTGCTATGTTTAACCTGTCATCACAGGGCATGAGATCCCCACTGATGGAAGCATACTTTTATCCCCTGTGGATGCTGCTTGAGACCTCCCTCCCTTGCTTGCTTTGTGTGTCCTCATATCCCCGCTTCTTGTGTTTCAGTGGGACGGAAATTCATGCTCCAGTTGTTCAATATGTTTGTATACATAGCATTAGTTGTCACTAGCCCTAGCACTGTTTCTGGACTTGAATTGAATGATTCTCCTGATTTGAATTTGTACTTTTCCCCAATTCCTGCCCAACGACCAGGTCAAACCCGAATCCTTGTTAGCCAATCTGAAGCAAGCTCTGCAACCTCTATGGGTGGCAGTGGCCAATGTGAGACGAGGATACAGCCAGGTGAAAGTGAGGGCAGCCAATCAGCAGCCTCATCACTAACAGGGGAGGGTGTGTCAGCCACTGATGCTTCCTCAGTTGTTTCATGTTCGCCTGAGCTGTCTGCTCTCTTAAGTTCATTCTTAGAGGAAGGTAATTAAATGTGTGTACATTCGGTAAATGCCTTTCTATTCCACCAAGTACTGAAAGATCTGCATTTGAAGGTTATTGACGTTTACAAAATATTATATCTGTAACTGTTGACGTCTTGTTTACTTAAGCTTACTGCTTTCCTCTTTCAACACCGTAGGCCGGTTATCCGGCCAAGAAGCATCGAGTCCCCAGACACCGCAGGCCGGTTATCCGGCCAAGCCGTAGTCACGTCAAAATAGTATATATTTTTATGGACCTACCTGTAATGTCATTCATTTATTAAATCTTTCACATTTCACAATGTCTGAAATACATATTCCATTTTAATTTAACATTTTTTATCGTTAAATTAAAAAATTATTCACTATTTCTCGCGATGTTATTGAAAATAAAATTTTCGGACACACATTTTGACAACGGGTCCACATCGAACACGTCAAAGAGGAAAATAAAGAAGTTTTAAACAAATCTTTAAATATATTATACAAAGTAATAAATAAAATCAACAAAAATATATCTAAAAGTAATCAAACTTACATCTATATTATTATTTCCATCTTTTCGTGCGATCGCGTGTAATGTAAGTCAAATGACATCTCGGCTTTCGTCGCCTTGAATTCTCGGCTCGGACACGATGTTTAATGCAAAAATATATGCATGAAAAATCTTTGTCACAGCTCGTAACCTAGCACGATACATTCACGAAGTTCCATATTTTTAATATATATCGTGATTTCCTGCTCAAAACGTTCAGAATAACACGATTAAACAAAATTCTTTCGCAAACTTCTGTAATTTATCGAACACGAGCTTGGTATCACAGCTGTAATTTGATTGGCTGCCTTAGGTCACGTGCTCAAAATTGACCAATCACGGAACTTGTAGCAGATTTCAGCAAGAAAGCGTCATTAGAAACCAATTTTAATCCAACGAAATCGCTTGTAATAACTACGAAAAAAAACCAGTCGATGTTACGAGCGTGTAGATGAAGGAATAAGCTTTCCAGCGATGTGTCATATGCCATTCTTCGACGCACGTGTTATTCATACGAAACCTCGAAAACAGGGGTATTTCTTCATTTTACTGAGCAGAGAGTCGCTGTTATCGGGAAATGGGCGATGACAGAAACTATTTATAATTCTTTTTAAAATGATTTTCCAATTACGTAAACAATGAAAATAAAACAGAAATAGGTACGTGGATATTATGAAATCATATATTTGCCGAAAATCGTCAGGTTTTCGCTTCCTTGGTCCTTAATCTGGATGTTAACAACGTGTTAGCGTACATTTTTTTATTTACAACGAATTTAATTAAGTTGTAAATGCATTTTTTTAAATAATGTGAAAAACATAACTTTCATATTTATAAACCATAGGATCAGACCTTTCAAATGGTGTATAACATGTAGTAGCAAATATATTTTACAAGCAGGTATTTTCTTTGATAAATGAAAAAAGAAATATCTTATTAAAATAACATTAACCCAGATATATTAACTAATCAATGTTTTAATGTTTTCAGACCAGAAAAGATGAAGAAAATGAAGGATTAGGCAAATTGAAATATATGTGTGTGCAAAGTGGAAGAATAATTCTGGACAATAAATGAAAGGTTTTGTTGCCACCTGACAGACCTGGTGAACAAATTGTTTTTTAGTTGCTTGGCAACCCCATGTCCATACTAAGTTGCCATGCAGTAATGACATCACAAATCATGAAATTTGGTGCCTGTGTCCATACATGTGTGCGGAATATTTTGAACCTGAACTTGCAGGCATTTTGCCCTTGCTGTACATGATGAAAAAGGCGAAATATTTAAAGATTATTGTCTCACAGTGTTATTACATCAGTGTCATTAATATGAACAATTAGATTAGCAAGATGGTATTATTTCCAAGGATTCCTTTGTCATCTTTTATAGAAGTGCATTTCATGTTTCATCAAAATGACATAGTGCTAATTCAAGAATGGTAGATCTAGCTAAGCTTCTGAATTTCACACATCATACAAGTAATTCATGGAATTTTCTGTTGTAAATATCAGGTCAGCATCCTCATCAACATTCATCCAACATATGTATTGCTTGAAAGAACATTGTTGTAAATACATGAATAAATATCCCTGTTGTTACTGTTTACTTAATCATATTTTGTTATTCTATTATGCAAAGTAGAAAAGCTTGTGCAAGTGACAGGTTTATTTGTATTGCAGACCTTTGGCCCGAAGTACTGCATATACAAAACATTTACAGTGGGTTGATATTCATTATGATACACAAATAACACACGTTTATGGGCACATTTCATGTAATTACACTTTCCAATAGTTATATTGGTAAATTCCTCTTTAATTATAAGACATATCTCTACTAGGATAGGTATAATCACTTATAAGCACTATACAAATTCAAAAAGGAAGATCTTGAAATCTTATCATGCCAATTCTGAAACGAAATAGTAGTATAGGTAAAGGGGATTCTGGCTCACTTCCACTGGAGCCAGATTTATATACCTATACCACTACTACAGAGGGAATTTTTTTTATGTCAAGAGGGCGACTTTTTCTTCTTTGGCACCCCCAATTTGGGCAACCCCTACAATATGTTTTCCTCTAGAGCAATAGGATGTGCACAAAGCATACAACTGTGCCCAACGAATTCCCAATTGAACATTTGTGCCCAACTACAGTATAGAACAAAAATGGAAGAAGCGAAATATACAACTATGGAGAGCATGGGTATACGTGCAGAAATGTCTGTGTTCCAACATACTGTAAAACAGGAAATTAATGCGAGCAGAATATTAATGCGAAACATGCGAGTGACGGAAGGTCGCATTAATTTTATGCCTACACAAAGCGAAGTTGAGTAGTGGTCAGTTCACATCCTGTCAAGCAGCCCAGATTGGCGCCAGCCACGAATTATCCAATCAGTGTCCTTTCCAAGCTTGTCAAGAGCAGACACGAGCCAACGCGCATGAATGGGTTTCATGACACTAATCTGCAGGTCAACAGGAGTGTGAGGATTGTCACCTGATCGAAGATTTGATACACTGATCTGTTTTCTACTTCTTTTCATCAAAGGGCCGAACGTATATACTAGTACCAACAGACTGTTAACTAAAACAACACTAACACCAATGATAGCTGCAAGGAAACCATTCTCACTCTTGGCCATCAAACATACGGGCAATTAGCTTAAATAATATTAAAATAAGGAAGGAATCTCACACTGAAAAAACGTGGACAGGGGATTTAATGTGCACAGTTATTTTATTTATCTCTGTCTACTCGCATTTCCTGCTCAAAACGTCATTTGAAACAAACAAAGCATTTTCAGGTAAGGCTTTTATTTACATAGGTTACATTAATTAAAATAACACAGAACATAAATCCAGCACATAATTTTTTAGGAAAGGGTATGGGCACTCGCATTTTTAAATGCGCATTAATGTCTAAAATCAAGAGCTCACATTATTTTCATGTCGCATTAAATTCCTGTTTTATGGTATACTACTTGAGAATGCATACGAAGACAACTTGCTACCAGATATATCCAAGGTAGACTATTTGAAAGAAAATCTAGGCAGAACACATCTAGAACCTTTGGAGGGCCTACCAACATTTGTAGACGATATGTATGTATTTGGCTATCTAGAAGAAAACGATATAGTATCTCTACGTTGATCTGTGTCTTGTACAACTGGAGAAAATGGATCTGCAAAACGCATACTACAAGAAATACAAATAGCAACGCAACGCATAGAAAGTATATGGATGTCGCGTGCATGCTACTATTGCAAATACAATTGCAAAGTTTCTCCATTGGTTTTCTGGTTGTGGTTCTTCTTTGGGGGATACCAACTCTAGAATTTCGTCTACAACCCAAGGTCCTTTGTCTTCGTCTGGTGCATACACGGATACTATTCGAGAACAACCTCTTTTCTGTACGTCTGGATGCAAAAATGTTTTTCGTAGGTGTCTATTTGGACAATCTATGTATTCGCAAAGATGTGCTCCTATTGGATTCCGAACGTCCCCAGCTTCGAAATTGGAAATAACTTTATTGTATATCTTCGCGGAAAATGTTCTATTGTTCCTACTGTATACCAAAGTAGATACATGTTCTACAGACGCTCTATGGTCTATAATTCTTCCTTCTCTTTCTCCACAATCGTATTGTATACCTTGTAGAATGTATCCCTCGCTTTGTAGGTATTTTTTTCCTAGTTTTTTCCTATCTAGTACACCAGAAAAGTCTCTAGTATAGTCTATGGAATATATCTCGTATCCAAAGGAATATAGTTGCGTGTGTAGTGCATCCAACCCCTTTTGTTTTTCCTCTAGGGACAACTCGGAGACATCTATTTTGCATACAAATATACCTTTGGGTTCGTTGAAAAATATGTCCATCCATTTTTTCTTCGCATTGTATTCTGTTTGTTTTTGTATTTGTTGTATTGTGTCTCGTATTTTGCTTCCGGAGCCTCCTATATAGGAAATTGTATTTGCAATAGTAGCATGCACGCGACATCCATATACTTTCTTCTGCATTGCTATTTGTATTTCTTGTAGTATACATTTTGCAGATCCATTTTCTCCAGTTGTACAAGACATAGATCCTCGTAGAGATACTATATCGTTTTCTTCTAGATAGCCAAATACATACATATCGTCTACAAATGTTGGTAGGCCCTCCAAAGGTTCTAGATGTGTTCTGCCTAGATTTTCTTTCAAATAGTCTACCTTGGATATATCTGGTAGCAAGTTGTCTTCGTATGCATTCTCCACTAGTATATGTTGGAACACAGACATTTCTGAACGTATGCCCATGCTCTCCATAGTTGTTATATTTCGCGTCTTCCATTTTTGTTCTATACTGTAGTTGGGCACAAATGTTCAATTGGGAATTCGTTGGGCACAGTTGTATGCTTTGTGCACATCCTATTGCTCTAGTGGAAAAAATGTAGAGAGGGCCGAAATTGGGGGTGCCAAAGAAGAAAAAGACGCCCTCTTGACATAAAAAATTCCCTCTGTAGTAGTGGTATAGGTATATAAATCTGGCTCCAGTGGAAGTGAGCCAGAACCCCCATTACCAATACTACTACATCGTTTCAGAATTGGCATGATGAGATTTCAAGATCTTCCTTTTTGAATTTGTATAGTGGTTATAAGTGTCCTAGAAGTTGAAAAATATGTAAAACTGAATTATTTAATTGTAAGGATTCATTGCGATTATTTTGTAGTTGTAGTTGGGCACAAATGTTCAATTGGGTATTCGTTAGGCACAGTTGTATGCTTTATGCACATCCTATTGCTTTAGTGGAAAAAATATTGTAGGGGGTGCCAAAGAAGAAAAAGCCGCCCTCTCGAATCGCATCATCGTTTTTGCATAAAAAATTCCCTCTGTAGTAGTGGTATAGGTATATAAATCTGACCCCAGTGGAAGTGAGCCAGAACCCCCATTACCTATACTACTGATATCCTTACATCTTTGCTTGAACATATTAATATATATCTTGAGTAAGCCAGACATGAAAAACCCTTCTTGAACATTAATTTAGGTACTAACATATGAGAGACCCAGTTTATTTTCCCATTATCATCAAAGCGTTTCAGTATCTGGTAACATGCCTTTTGGTATCTATACTTTTAAATGTTCAATAAGTGGAAGTCTACGCCAGTAACCTTTGCAACGACTATAAAAATGGACACATAAGTGACTCCTTGCAACATGCCTCATAACGACACCACTTGACGACCGTTTGGAAACACCGAGACTAAGGCCTCCCTTAAAGTGAATCCCTTGATTTCTGCACCACACACTAAAATTAGTCCCATCTTAGTATCAAATATTGTTTGAATAGCATGAAAAGGTAGTCTATGAATATGCATGCTAGCCTTTCTGGGTTGAATAGATAGGGTTTCACAAGCGCTTGACCACACTAATCTCTGAGAAAATAATACCTAGCTATTTATGATAGGTTACAGTTTTCATTTGAACTCCTGAATACAGCCACTTTCTACACTGCGTAAGTAACCACCGTTTCTAAAAACTATTATGTTAAACTTATTCAAGAAAGCATTTGCAACTTCTTACACAAACAGAAGCAGCCCGTTCAGCGCACTTTCCTCAAGGTCTCAGAAATTATGAACACCATCATGCATATTCAACCTGATGCAATTACCTTTGGTTCGAGCAAAGGCATGCCTACTACAACCTCAAACAACATGCAAGTACCAAGCCTAAAGTGATGGCATAAAACTAGAAGAAAATACAACTTGGATTTTCCTGTTTCAAGCTGACCGCCTTGTGGATAGAGTGTCAGCCCGGAGAGAGAGGAAGGTCAGTGGTTCGATCACTGGTCGTGACATACCGGAAGAAGTGAAACTATTGTTCTTGTCACCCTACCTGTCGCTGGGCATAAGTGAGATAAAACAAGGACTTGATGCATGCTGCATTACATGTGCATAGCCATGACCATGGTACACGGCACGAGTCTGTAGCAGGAATGTATATAAGTTCTTTACACTTGAGAGAGACAGAGGGAAACTATTTATTATTTCAGGGTGTATTACAGAACTGCCCAAGCTCGGGGGCTTTCATACTAGCAACTCTACGGTATGATTAATTATAAAAAAGGTAGGGGTCGTCTGTAAAAGAAAATCGAGATGTAAAAGGATATTAGACAGCTTAGATAAAAAGTTGATTAGGCGAACATCTACCAAAAGCCCCAGATCACGGTTCCGGCATGCACAACAATGACATGATTATGTTTACCTGGTGGTTGCACGGTCCCGTTTCGTCCATCTGACAGCAGCAACATGTAGTCAGTGGAATGATTCTTATTCTCCCAGGTTTCGTCAAGGTCAATGATCTGAAAGCCCTGGCTGCCATCGAAATCCCTTCTCCTGTAGTGCAATAATTAATGTAGTCCGCGAAACATTAATGCACAAGGCTTATGAGCAGAATATATCCCCGACATGAAGGAGAGTTCTTGAGGAATTTAAAGACCCAATTAATGTTTCCGGGACTACATTAATTATTGCACTACAGGAGAAGGGATTTCGATACACTGCACGTGTCGATGACCGAGCAGTTTTCAGGTGGAAATATTCCATCCTGTCTAGGACGTCTCACTATATGCGCATCAATCCTGACAATGGCAGTCAGAGCTTTCAGATCTGGGGCTTATGGTAGATGTGAGCTAGTTTTCCAGGCGAAAAAGAAGACTGGCGAGTCTCACAAGCAAATGATTGGTGATGCGTTCAAAGACTGGTTGGAACATCAGCTACTGCAGTCTTAACAACTCCAGTGTCATTGTCATTCAAACGCACACATGTCAAATGGTGACAAAGAAAGAGGCAACACATAAGTGCAAGGAGAGATAAGAGTTTATTTTTATATAGCATCGCCACGCTGAGATTGATCGTCACTACCGGAAGGCTAAGGCACACAGGACTGCAAGTCGTAGGTAACGTTGTTTCAGCGTCCTTTGGCATTACCTGAAGTTTTGGGAGTCTGTTGGAGAACACTGGAAAGGAGCTATTGGAGAGGTCTAGAAGTATCTCTGTCTGCGGTCTGGAGGTGTCTCCAAGTGTCTGCTTCTTTCGCCAAATCACCTCGCTATTTATGCAGAGTTTTGACATTAAACTTTTGACTGCATAAGGATCGTTTCCCAGCCAAAATGTAGTAAACATCTTGTAATTGTCGACTTACTGACCGGTCATCTTTTTGCGTTGACCCATGGCCAGTCCGTACAACGAGGTGAACAGAATAATAGAACTTGGTCATACAATGATACTCCAAGTCGGTTTGTCAACAAGTTGTTCCGACCAGTTCTTGACCCTGGACAGCGACCTCTGTCAATTCGCAGCAACAAACGAGTTATGTTACACTTTGCTAGAATCACATCAGAGGCATTGCAATAGGCCCAAGATCGCGTCCTTGAAATAGAACGTCGTTACCGACAACGTGACGCCGTAGATATCAGCCTTGTTTCACCAGTATCATACCTTTGGGTGATAGTACAGACTCAGATACGTCTTCAGTTCAGTCAGATGTTGGCTAAATAAATCATCTGTAGAACAACCAATTCTTCTTGATTCAAAAGCCCCCAACCATCCAATACTCGTCCCGTTTCATAGCTTTAACTATTCCATCACTTTTTCAATCATATATAATGCATCACATATCTTAATTGCTATCCTCGTCAACGCACTACTCATTAAAGTACAATAACAACAATATTTTGAAACCACCCCCAACTCGGGTGACATTTGCAGCGGTGGGAATGCAAGGGCCGGTGTGAGGTCATCACCTCGGGACAAGAGTTAGGCAATTACCTCAGGCTATAGGCCGTTACTTAAATGCACGATAATACGAATATTTTCTAAGTTTATCATCAATGTACCTGTAAAAGTACCTTTTAGGCTACGCAGTGTCATTTGAGCACGCCAGCTGATAAACGTCATAAATTGAAGAACCTTATTTTTGATTGGGAAGTGTCTGGTGAGTTGTTCCCCATAGATGTAGCTTGGCAACGTAGATAAACGCCCCCCCCCCCCCCCCCCCCCCCCCCCTGTTCATTAAATGGACTTGTCCAACATTACCGAGCGGACTGTAGTCGGGAAGTCATCATTATTTAAAATACAGGAAATTATTTTTAAAGTTTGTACATTATGTTAACATTCTTAATGAGTTATACATATGTTGTTTTTCATACAATATACACTGGCCTCTCAACCAGGAATTCACCGAAAGAAAACTTTCGGAAGCTAAAGAAATGCACAGTCACAAACCTCACCAGAGATCAAGGGTATCAGACATCTTGTCTGCATATGAAGATCTAATCAAGCAATAATCCTTTATAATTAGTATCCAATTAGCTTGTAACAACTGTTCCATCCGTTTAATCCTTATTCTTACTGTACATCTGGCTTCATCGCCCATGTGCTTCATTACCTTGATTCCCGACATTGGTACAGTGTGTGAAGCCCATTTCTGGTGCCCCCCTCCGTGATATTGCTGGAATATTGCTAAAAGCGTCATAAAACCATACACACCCACTCACTCATTACCCGTGTGGTGTTTGTATTCTTACTGTACATTTATGCTTCAACCAATTATCTGTATGCTACTTGTTATAAAACATTATCCCTAATGTTGAATACAGCCTTTCGAGAATAGCCTATTTTAAACATCTATAGTTTTAAGACAACAGGGATAAATAAACTCAAATGTTCCAAACGCTGCTTTTAGCAATATTCCAGCAATATCACGGCGGGGCACACCAGAAATGGGCTTCCCACATTCTACCGATATTGGGAATCGAACCCGGGTTTTCGGCGTGACGAGCGAACGCTTTAACCACTAAGCTACCCGACCGCCCCCACCGCTAAGGGATAACATGTCCACATAGCTTCTTGCAGAGTACATTTCAATTTTGACGTTTCAGTGACAAATATGATGTCTGATGCAATTCCATATTTTGATGTACCATATGAGAACAACTGACTTGCCTTTACATGTGTTTGTGACAGGTGGGAGTAAACGCTCACCTTTTCACGAACACCTGGAAACCTCACTATTCAATAGTGATTCTATTCAATAGTGGTGATTAATAAACACATCCGCATGATACAGTCGAAATCGTACAATGGGCTGTTTTTTAGCAGATATTTTTAATGATTATGAAAATGTTTTTTGTCGCTTTTATTTCTCATCAAAATATGTGAACATATATAAAATCGTTAGATATTAACTCCTGAGTTCAATCTGGAAAAGATTAACGTATAATATATAAATCTATTATAATAATTTTAGAAATTGAAGCTACATGTAAAGATATATCAAATGATCACCAACAGTTTTTATTACAATATTGATATCTTGAGACAATTCAATAATTTTACTCTTTCACAAGCCATGCTATAAAATGCATGCTTAAGTAAAACTTTATGAACACTAAAGATAGTCATTACAAATTTCAATATTCCCTAAGAGAAACATACGTTTTTTTTAAGTTCCGCTGCATATATTCCCACGAATGAACTCAACTTGAATGTCCTATTCAGTGAATATAAAACGACAACGCCAGAGGTTAACCAGACCCGATTATCCAATGAAGCAGATACCATTGTGTGTTAACGGAAAAGTCAGTGTTCAGTGACGACAGGCGAGTTCAGTTGTCTGAGACGGTGTAAGGGAGGTAACTCAAGCATACTGATTATCAATGCTGAATCAATACTATGAATACATTGTTTACTGCACATATATAGAAATAATTATCTCAAAACAAAAATAACAAGATCCGTGTCTGTAGAATGAAAGAATGCGGAAGTTTAGGGAGATATTAATCAGGCGTAATGTGACAACAGAATGTATCATTGTTAAGCTTGTTGCATGTCATACCAACTGAGTACTGGTATGTTGTGCCTTGAAATAAATAAACAGTAACGCCAACTGAAGCCCAGTACTATGAGACACACACCGACATAGTTTCTATCTACAGGTTTGGGTATTTACCAATATTCAGCAAACAACGAACACGGACCTTGAAGCTGTTGATCACAACCAACAATGTCGACATCTGTGTTGGGGTCACGTGGTCTACTTTCGTTTCAGATGAAACGTGTATGGTGTATTTCTCAGAATTTCAACATATTGCTGCAATGTGAATTTCGACATTGACTAACAAACAGATGGTTATGTTTACTTACTGCAGTAACCCAATCTTCCCCTTTTCGATTTTTAACGTATTTATGCACATACCTCTCAACATATGTATTTCAGTTTACTAACATACTCAGAATAACTCATGTCAGTTTAATATTCATTTTTATCATATAATGGGTAGGTTTCTCGGCAGGATAAAGCCAACGGATAAAAACGATATCCGTTGGGGTCATATGCGGATAGTGATGCAAATATCAAAGGTCAAGTAGGACAACTTTCACTGTTTACAAACAAACATGGCGTCGCCTCGTCATTCGGTGATCGAGTCAGAATTAACCATCGGGAATCAGGATAAACTACAGGGATAATTGCTCTCATTATCAAAAGAACAGTCTAATATACTGAAAATAAGGGTCTATCTGTGACGTAGCTAAGGCATTTTATAAGTTTTTGCAACTTTGGAGATATACATTTCGAAACAATTTTGCGAGGGCACGAGGCCTAGCCTAGGTCCGACTTGGCCCGGGCGGTCAAAATCAACTTTAAACACACAGATGTATCATCAAATGGATTCACATCCTTAGATTAGTATTATATCTACCTAAATGACACGTTATTATGTCACGGTACATCGTATTTAAAGAAAACAAGGTGCTCAAAGTCAAGCATTTTTACTGCATTTTCTTAAGAAAATCTATGTCAGAAGTGTTCGGTCCGACATAGCCCGGGCTGTCAAAATCAACTTAAACTTCACAGATGTATCATCAAATGGATTCACATCTTTAGATTAGTATTATATCTACCTAAATACCACTTTATAGTGTCTCAGATCGCTGTACTTAAAGAATACAAGGGGCTCAAAGTGAGCCCTTTTCCCTCTACATTCTCAACATTTTCCCTCTACATTCTCAACATAGTCTCTATCAGAAGTGTTTGGCTTGTGTTGGGTCCGACTTGGCCCGGGCAGTCAAAATCAACTTTAAACACACAGATGTATCTTCAAATGTGTTTACATCTATAGATTAGTGTTATATCTACCTATATACCACTCTATAATGTCACGGTACATCGTATTTAAAGAAAACAAGGAGCTCAAAGTCAAGCATTTTTACTGTATTTTCTTAAGAAATTCTATGTCAGAAGTGTTCGCGTATTTTGGTGCTTAAGTCACTTGGAGATTGTTTAGCTTCATAAACTGTTCATTAGAAACATGTCAGACAGCTTTGACATCATTGATGACTTAGTCTTATGAGATGTGTAAACCTTAGGGGAAATGAGCTCAAATAAATACAGAAACAGAGGGTCTAGAATTGCCACAGTGTTAGGCCCGAAAGTCTATTTAGGATTTAAATTGTGATTAAGGAAGTAGAGGGTAGAGAGAGAACAAGATAACAAATCTAAACAAAAACTACCTGCCAAACGAGTGCTAGTTCGTTCGTAACCGTAATCCGTCACAAACTGTGTGTGTTCGATGAAGGAAATACAGCACTTCAGATCTTTGTTTACTGAATACACCTTGACCTATAATTTATAAGATATTGAAGCTACATGTCCGCCCATAGTTTCGAGGAAATGTCCTGGCTACACTTCAAGGTTTCGTGCTCAACAAATATATATGAATGTATATGATATCTCATGTTGATGTACTTTCATAATGCAATTCGACAAAGAAGATGTACAGATGCCTCGACAGCATTTTTGGCAGTCAACTACAAGTACAGGTAAACATGACTATTAATGCTCATGTGTGACAGGTTGCCCATACCTCGCCGTCACATCTGTACACAAAGCAAGTGCATAGTCTAAACTAGGCTACATTTGCATTTCTTTAGCCGTTTACAGATGCCTCGACAACATTTTTCACACATGAATGACTGCAACCTTGGCTCTCAACTAGTACAGGTAAACATGGCTATTAATGCTCATGTGTGTCAGGTTGCCCTAACCTCGCCGTCGTATCTGTACACAAAACAAGTGCATAGTCTAAACTAGGCTACATATGCATTTCTTCATAAATCCTTCATAAATCATATTTTTGCCATTCATTTCACATATGCCTCGGTAGAATTGAGGTAGGGGAAGGACTTCTGGTCAGATGGTTATATCCCATTAGTTAGACGTCCCATTAGTTAGACGTCCCAATTGTTAGACATTTTTATTTAGGCAAAGAGGGAATATACCTACAGGTGTAATGGATCAGTCCTAATTAGATAAAAGTACTGCGTAGGGATAGGGGACTCACAGTTGAGGGAGTATATATGTTATAATTTCGTTTAATTAACCTAAATTACCTTACTCTCAGCACAGGTTCAATAGGCATGAGATTAACTATGTAAACTATGGAGTAGCTTAATTGTCTCACTGTATGATCAGTTGAAGGAGTTGAGTTTAGATTATCTACTCATCAAACAAATAAATATGATATTTGGGTACGTATCATTGTCAGTATCGATATGGCTGGTTTAAGGAAAGTAGAGTAAATCACCTCTCGGCGTGGAAGTAAGCAGTTGATATTAGATGGATATATTTACAACAGAAACCGCGAGAGGCAAACCTTACACATTGGAGTTGTGTCGTCAAGACTTGCAATGAGAAATGTACGACTGTCGGCGATAAATAAACTGTAACAGTTATTAAATGTAAAGTGTACATTACCAAAAACTGTCACAAAGTGTTGTTACAAACTGTATAAAATTTATCAAATGTAAAGTGCCATTAAATGTTAAGTATAATATTAAAGTATCTATTTAAAGCTACTTTGCTTTGTTTGTCAGATCTTATCTGGACTATTCCATTTTAAAGTCTGAGGTAACAAGCATAAGGATGAGTGTGCACTCAACCGTTTAAAGTGTTGTTATAAGCTGTATAACTATTGGGACGTCTAACTAATGGGAGGACACCGGTCAGATAACAAGGTGAGGTGAGGTGAGGTGAAATTGGGTTTAACGTCGCGTCCAAGATTATTGCGCTTATATAGAGTTTTTTGTCCTCCAAGATTATCGATAGCTGTCAGTAATGTCTCCCTAATATCATCATATAAGGTACATTGGAAGAAGAAATAGAATGAATTTTCACAAGGAGCTCCGCATTTACAGGAAATAGTGTCAGATAATTAACACAAAACAGGTTGGAATTTAGTGTGCTACAATTGTGTCTCAATCTAGTGTGCAATATGTTTGTAGAACCGCAATTATAGTGCATAGGTGGTGATGTAGGCTGCTCAGATGCGACAGCTTTAAAATAAGATATTGACGGACTATCCCTGATTCCTGATGATAGATTATTCCATTGGCCTAATGTATCTATAATATAAGACCTTTTAAACGTAGATGTCCGTGCAAATTGAACTACATAATCATGGCGGTTTCTGATATTATAACTGACCTTCTGTGACACAGCTGGTGGTATAAGATCAGTTACATATGAAGGACATGGCTTATTTATTATTTTATACATAGTTACAAGTTTGTTGACGTTTCTTCTATACGCTTGTATATATGTATCCACGTCACACACACCTAGAACAAGTACACTTATTTGAATATTACTAATATTACATGAATGTTACTGAGCAGTCAGAGTTTATATTTTTGCGCTTAATCAGCAACATTAAGCCTTTCACGTATATTACAACTTTGTAAGTTAACTTTCCTTTCCAGAAATACCATAGCATGGTGACAGAGATGAACTTCTACACCAAGAGATGTGTCATTGACTAAAATCTGCTTTGTTAATTTGATTTCAAGAGATAGCCTTCACCTGGAAGGAATTTATATTTGTATTATTTAAATTTTTCTTTTCATATATATCCCTCTGAATTTTGGGTTTTGAAATAGCATGTCGCAGAAATAACTCCTGTTGGACCCTTAGACTTGCAAGAATACGCTTGTGCCTCTTGCTTTGTCAGACCAAACCCATACTGTTGAATTTCACAAAAGCTTTAAAAGGGTTAAAGCTATTTTTGGAAGTATAAATGGGTTGATTGGTGACTACCACAGAAGTAGCAAATGGAGTTATGTCCGATGAAATTCTCTATTTTGACTTGTGCTGATCGTTTCCGTGTTTTTCGGGTTTAACAACTAACTTGCCTTTGCGTGTGTTTGTTCCACCGGTGGTGCAGGATACGCTCACCTCTATGCAAACACCTGTTATCCTCACTGTTTGATAGTAGTTTATACACGTTAGTATGTATAAAGGTATGTCATCTTAATATATCACTTCTGTCATCCCTCTTTTTGAGGTGTACTACAAACATAAATCAAAGTTTCTTTTGAGCTATCATGAATATCATAAAATAGTTAGCAAGTCTATGCTTATCATTCCCTCTACTACTACCAAAGGCTCTAATTGTGGCTAATTGTTACATATTCTTCACGAATACTGTAAATCATGAAACGTGTAACCAAATTAATGCGAGTTTAGACCGCTGGCTAGACTAACATCTAGTTTCTGAAATGAACATATTTTACAAAAATAAAAACAATTGTTTGATTATATTGATAAAATATATAACTGCAGTAATCTAGTCTTGCCAAATATGATTGACTTGCATCGGTTGTATTGGACTTATTTGTTTCAGGAACTGAATGACAGGCCTAAAATGCGTCACGAAAGTAATGCGATTAACTTTGCTTTTGACCTGTAAAAGCTAACCAGCAAGCGAAAACACGGCGTTGTTTACAATGAACGCATGTCTAAACAAACATCCTTTTTTTATATACTTAAGTAGAAGTATCACGATGGACAGTGCATACAACTGTTTGGCAAACAATGTAAAGCAATATTTTAGATTCAGAATCAACATACCATGACATAACAGAAACATATATATTAAATTGTATATATTCATATTTGCCGCTATTCACGATAAATTTATTTACCGTCACTGTTTAAAACTACTCTGAACTACTTGTATGTATAGATCATCTT